AGCAGAGCAACGTGAAACTTACAGAAGGAAACTGAAGAAAGAAGCTGCTGTCACTGATGCTTGGACTCGTTGGGAGAGAGTGGCGTTAATGTAATGTTTTGTAAAAATACTGAATACTGAACACAGTCCTTGCTGCTGTTATGAATATGATATTAGTTAAAAAAACAGGAGAGACTGCTTTGTTTGGGTTGATTTTCAATTTTTACTAGGCGCATTTAAAAGCGTATTTGATTGAGGAGCATATATTCATGCAGCACCTCCTCTCGCTCGCTCTCTCTCTCTCATGAACACCACTGCACAAACCTGTGCAAAGTTAGAATATAGCTCTTAGCAAGTAAATGTGGATCACGTAATATTAAAAAATGACATGTGTTGCACCCGAATGAGTGTGACATCATTCTGCGCCCTGCTACACAAAGTCATCTAGTGAATTTCTCTTCAACATCTGGATATTCCTGAAACCCATTAACTGATTTGGAAAGAAGAGTCCTTTGCAATACCTTAAAGGAGCCCTATTATACTGCTTTTGCAGTCCTATATTGTAGTTCTGTGACTCCTGTATGGCAGCTTTGCATGATTCAGAGTTCAAAAGAATTATTTTCTGTCTTACACTGACTCTTCATGTAGGCCTTTATTTCAGCCTCTGTCTGAAACAAGCTCTAGATGCTCCTGTCTCTTTAAGCCCCCCCTCAAAGCCCACTGTCTTCTGATTAACCAAGACCTGAAGCATGTTACCAGGCTGCTGTTGTCGCTGAGAAGTACAGACAGACTAAGCGTTGCTGGGCCGTTGCTGTGTGGAGCAAATGACCATATATGGAATACCGTTCCATCTAGCTCTTTATGTCGTAGAACTGAGCCGTTGGTAGAAAAAGCAGTTCAAAACAGATCGTTCAGAACAGGAGGAAATCTGAGGATTTTGCTCACACAGGGATCTTTTAAATACTTAAACCTCATTATTTGAAGCTTTGACCATGTTTAACATGAACATCAAACATTGTAACATTGTAGATAAGTCATAAAATGTGGAAAAGTATAATAGGTCTCCTTTAAGTTCTACGAGTCTGAGTTGTGATGATGTGGTAATTTGCACTGTGTATATGGCCACCTCCTACCACATATTATTTCACTCCAATCCCAGCTCCTGTCCCCATTTAGTTTTAGCTTTATTTTACCACTATCTTTAAATCACACAATGGATTATATAAGAAAGATAAGAACTTAACATGATTAACCAGATTTCTAAGTAGTAATATCTGCAGTCTACAACAAAAAAGGAACATAAGTATGCGTTTAGTGGGATACTATAGGAGAGATGTGTTTCCTCTGACTGAACTGCTGAAGGCAAACGCAAAATTAGTTGGGTCATCTGAATATCAGTAAGCCTTTGATAATGTAAAGTCTCTGTAATGTTCTGCTCTTGTCCTGTTCTAACAGCTGTGGGCCAGCTAAGTGGGAGCAGGTGCCGGCTTGCTCCAGGGGGATGACCAGGGGGTGGTGAGGCCAGCTTCTTTTTGAAAAAGTTTAACCATCACGACTTTAATTACTCTGTTATAGAGAAAAAATCTTTGGCCTTGCAACAGTTTGAGGTATACGTAGGAACAGTATGATTGTCTCTAGTGGTTTACACAGATCACAACCCTCTGATGTTTTTACACTCTTAGATGTCCAAATCTTATCAAGACTAATAACTCTGTCTATGACTTTGACATTAGATATACCAAACTAAAAGATGTTATGTAAGTTTTGTTATTGGTTGCCCCTTAGCACTGTGCTTGCTATTATGATCATTGAGCCTACTGTTAATGCTGCCTTTTTGACATGTTTTTGCTGTGCCTGTTTTCTTAATTTGCTTCTCAGATGCTGGGATTGCTCATAATGGGTGGGGGTAAGCAGCAGCAGTAATATTTTTGTCTAATTATTTGAAGAATTGCTTAAAATTGTTGGTTTTCATGGTTTGAAAGATGAAAAGTGTAAGCAGATTGACTTTAAACAGACATGGTTGTTGCTGTTAGTGCATACCATAAAACTTTGAATAATAGCCCGGGCTTTTATTTGTTAAAATCACTGAATTGACCCTGCCTATATTTGGAACAAGCGTTCATATGCCCTTTTGCACAAAACTGAAACTACTATGAAACAGTTTATTTATTTCAAACAGAATAATACTTGTATAAAAATGATCAAATAATATCAAATACACATCATTCATTTGATCTAGCTCCGACAGACAGCTTATGCGCTTTAATTTTGAAGTAACATCACGACAACAACATGGTGCAGGATGAGAAGAAGACAGAGAGCGATGGACTTCACATCACAGGATTCACAACGTGGATTAATTTTTATGAAAAGCTTTGATTCTTTTGATCGGTGGACCCTTACAGACTAAAGGAAGATAAATAATCAAGGAACGGACACATTCAGACTTAACGAGCGCTTCAAAGGTAACGGCAGTCAGCACTTTTTTTCCTTTCCTCTCTTGTACCAGGCAAGACTTTGGGGGTTGTTGTTTCCCTTAAATTAACTGAACAATTTAATTGTGGAGAATCTTACCGATCTAACGATGTGTAGCATGTTCATACTGACATTGATCATATGTTTAAACATTAATATTTGTATTAATGATTTAAAGCAGGCGGGGTTTAAGAAGTTTTATACATTCAAAAAACTAGACCAGGCATTAAATTGAGGCAGGCGTTTATTTGTCAGAATGTGTTCCCTCACCAGGCCAGTAAACGGGGTGGGCGGCTATTAATTGAAGTTTTACAATATACTTTTTGTATTATGCAACCTTGAGATGTAGGGGTTTTAAACCACTACTCAAGAGTTATTTATTTCTACAGACACGCTTTAATGAAATGATGTGGCATTTCTTCTTGTTCCAATATACGGGTTCCTTGGTAGACTGTAATTATACCCACACAATGGTTTTTAACCCAGTTGTCAATTCTTCTGAACATGTTTTTATATGTCTTTCTTCTGAGTCTCCTTCAAAGATTTCTAAAGTTACATACATGGACATAATGCTCTTGCATTGTCCTCGTTGTCCCGGATAGAGAAATTGTTCAAATTCAAAATCAACATAAAGGGATACTTTTGTGAGAGAGCGAGACTAGTGACAGTCGATTCTTCAGTCTGAGTGATTGTGTGTAATAAATAGGGCAGTGGTCATGCAGGGAAGGGACAGCCAAGACAAAGCACACAGAAACTTTGCCTTTCAGCACCCGGTCACAGTGAAGAGCAAATACTTAACTGATTTACAACAGTAATGAGATATCTTCTGAAATTCCTGGAAAATTCATAAGTCCGACCGACGGCAAATTACATGTAATGGACTCTTTTTCGCTGCACAACTGCTGAGGGTAACGTCTGCTTGAGTGGTGTGCACTGTGCTGAATTGGAAGCAACTCAGTGGTGGTTTAGCAGTGTCAAGTCAGCTCGAGTCAAAAGGCTCAAGTCCAAGTGAAGTCACGAGTCATTGGTGTCAAAGTCAAAGTCGAGTTGCAAGTCCTCTTTGATTTTGTCAAATTGAGTCTAAAGTCATAATTTTTGTGACTCAAGTCTGACTCGAGTCCAAGTCATGTGACACGAGTCCACACCTCTGATCTTTAGTGAGCATATTCCCAGTGAGATAAACCATGTTTATTTTAATGATCACATGACCTTTCCTCAGATATATGCTATATATTTACATGTTGCTCATTCTGTTCATCACCCTACTGTGGGGGATTGATGACTATGTGTACCAGGAGTAGGATTTATTCAGTAAAACAAATCCAAAAACATGGAATTGTAGATCACTAAAGTTACAAAGGTTTAATTTGATGCATTGTGTGATGAGAGGGACATGACAAATGGCTGACAGAGAAATTTCAGTTTACAAAAATATCTATATTTATGCTGACAAATGTAAAAGGGATGGGCTTATACTACATTTATTGTAACATTTTATAGCTGAATTTAAGCAGACACTATCTGTATTATACAGTTACAGATAGAGGAAAGTAAGAAAGAAGTGGATTTCTGATTCAGCTGATAAACACGTCAATGCTTGCAGGTGTTTGTTTGTCATCACAAGTCATATACAGAGCCAGAGAGCAAGAGAGTGAAAGACAGACTAGAGACAGACCGAGAGAGTCTGATGTGAAATATTAACTGGGGGTTAATGGTCCAAGTAAAAGCCCACTTAGATAACCAATGACCTCAAATTAACTTTTTATTCCTGCCAATTGAGAGTGATAGAGTTGACAGTGATCCCAGGTCAGTTCCAGATCCACCCAACAGCCCAGATAGTACTTATTGGTTAGATCTTGAGCTGCAGGTTTTACAGTTCATGCTCACATGCCATGACACAGAAAATTAGGGTGTTTAGCTTCTGGAAAAAACAACAGCAAAAAGCAAACTGTGGAAAGGAAAAAGACATATACTACACATTCTGAGGGGAGGATACAACCACACACACTGAACTCCGACCTTAAACGTAATCTTCATCCTAATTCTGACTTTAGGACCTTTTTGATTATCCTACCAAACTTAGCGGTGTAAGTTCAAGATTTTGTAGAATCCATTAATAAATATTATAAACAGATGTTCCTCAGAATTCAGAAATTACTTGCTGAGGGAGAAAATACTCAATTGGTTTTCCGGTGTCCCCTAAGTGGTGCTAGAGAACACCCGCTAATAATGCGTCATGTTCCAGTATGTCGAGTGTGGGCCACACTGTGGAAATTTTACAATTTCAAGAAGATATCACACCGGGCTTGCTTTCTGTTTGCAGTAGGTGGCGCGGCTCAACAGGGTTCAATGAAAACTAAGTTTCATCATGAAGACCTTTTGATTGCACTGGGAAAATCGATCGGAATAATTCTCTTGGAGTTCTTTACAGGTCCTGTAAATGGCAAAACATGCCCTAAAATGTTTCTTTCAATTCAAAATGGCTGACTTCCTTCTGACCTTTTATGATTTCACATGCAGGCTTGAGGGTAAAAAAAGGTTCCTACCTGAATAAACACAGCCATGGCTGCGATGATCCTCTTCTCCCTGAGCGCTGCACTGAGGCTGTCGAAGTCATCTGAGTTGTACATGTAGATCTGCATCTGTGAGAGACAGACACAACAAGTTAAGGTGCGGAATACATAGAAGATCAAACTTCCACATCAAAGTCAATACATACACTACAACAGATTGAGCTAAAGTAGACTCAAATATCTCAAAATTCCCAGCAATTAAATACAAGCAAAACATAGATTCTAATTGCTCCTGATTATGTGAAAATTTCTATTTCACATAGACTAAGCTCCCTATCCCATGCAACCCTGGGTTCTTGGTGTGTAATTTCAGCTTCAATAAATATATTTGCATATAGTTGTTTATTCAGGTTTCCATCAGCCCAGGGTCTCTTAGATTGGACAATTTGTCTATGTTAAAAATGCGGAAGCTATTATTCATGCCTTTATCACATCCTCTGGCATTAATAGAAAATCATATATTAAAGAAAGTTACAAACCTGCAGAATATTATGAAACTGGGAGTAATGAGTTTAGTGGGGTCTGTTGTTATGGGTTGCTTGGAATCTTCAAATGAAGTACTGCTCTGTTTTAATAAGGTGAAACTAATGAAAATTCCCAACAGAAAGAAAAACCCATTATAGTTTTTCTGTGATTTTCTGAAAGTAATGTGAGCTAAACAAGCTGACAACATCTGGAATCAACAGCCCTTGGTTTCAAATAGTGTTGTAATGACTCAGCTGGAAATCCTAGAATGTACTGTTTATTCAGTGTTTGTGTAATTGCAAAAATGTATGACGAAAAACTAGAATTTATGGTTTATATGCAGCTGGTGAATGAGTGGTAAATAGCAGGCTAGATGGATGAACGATGACTTCTCGTCAAAGTACCGTGATCCACAAGTGCACAAGTAGGAGGGACATTTACATTTGACAGTGCACACAGAAGAAAGACTAAAGATGGAACCTCAGATTATCACATTTGGTCATTAAGACAATGCTGTGGTCAGCATAGACAGGATAGCAACACGCATCTTAAAAAAAAAACATGCAACAACTTCTAACTTTGTTCAACATTTGCAGCTTCACAAAAAACAGTAAATTGAGGCTAGTATTACCCTAATAAAAGCTAGACAACATTACAAGCTTGTAGTTTGCAAACATGAAATCAATGTGCACTTTGTGTCCGAGATTTGGTGTGGTTAAAGTGTTTTTCCCCTAAAATTAATAAACATTCTGCAATCTCCAATATTAGAAGTCACTGATGGCCAGCATTCAAGTAAGCCTAATGCTGATGCTGTTCCGGGGTTCCATTATGACTTGTTTACAGCTTAAAATACAACTTGGTGATAAACATGTCACCAAGGGCAACATGTGTGGCTAATTGGTGTGTTTTAATGGCACAAGGATTAAGTTTTTAAACAGATAAGGCATATAAAGCTAGTCTGGCCTGCCTAATCTGTAGCAAGATGTGGGGTATGTGTATCAGTATATGTATCAGGATGTCTGTTGGTTATCTCTGTGCCAATGAAATGCTTATGTGATTGTGCTGCAAGCTATCCAAATTCCCCTACGGGGACAAATAAAGGTTAATTGATTGATGACAGAGGCATACAATATATCAGACACACAATACTTGCTAGTAACAACAATTGATTGTTGGTGTTTGTCTTGAGATGGATTTTTGTTTTTATTAATCCTAATTTCCTAATAATCAATTAACTGGACAAACTAATTGGACTACTTCCATATTTAGAGATGTGATAAACACCCCGATGTCTGCAGTAAAAGTGATAAACAAAAAGTAAATTGTCAGTCAGCTGTTCGCCTTGAAGAGATAACCAGGTGGTAGCCTGAAGTCAATAATACTGTGAAATGGACTTTTCATGAGAACAAGGACACAGAGAGGGAGAAAATTGGTCAGGCGCTATTCGTTGTCATGGTGATATAAAGGCATGACGAATAATGTCACACAGCAAATGTGTGCACTGTGTGTGTTTGTAGCGGGAACACATTATTGCCCCTGTGTGTGTACATAGAAACTGTGTTCATATGCACATGTGTTTACATAATTTCTAGTGTCAGGGAACACATTCCTGCGTGCCAAAAGCAATTCTGAGAGTTTTTTTCAGCCAAGATCTACTCTGCCAAAATCACTTGTGTAGCATTTTCTCCAGTTTTCTAATCCCCACATAAAGAGTCTTGTGCATTGCTTTTGATCTCCTTGCGAAGTAAACAGTTATCAAGCAGCTGGATATAGAGTCTGTTTGGTGAATTTATAGCAGGGACTGCTCAACTGGAGCAACATATTCTTCAATATGTCATTTGTGCAATACATAGGCTATTTTGGTTGTGCAATATCTATTTGTGCAATGTAGGCCATATGGGCTGTGCAACATTTAATGTGGGCAATGCAGGCTGTATGGGTTGTGCCATCAGATGCGGCCATTGTGATAAGGCATTAATGTGTATTTTTATGTAGGTACCTGTCTTATGAATATAAGAGCATGTGCATCAGACTATGTGTGGAGAGATGCCCATTTTAATGTTATTTTTTTGTTTATTTTGCAAAGCTGCAGAACCGACAGTGGCCAAAACAAATTTCCCTTTGGGACAATAAAAGTATATCTTATCTTATCTTAGATAAAGTTGGGTGACATGGAGCAGAGTTTAAAATGTGTTACCATTTCAGGGGCACTTAGACAGACTGCTGGGTCCTCTAGCAGAATGACATGTGGGTTTTTTCAGTGTCATTTTGTTCATTAGAAATTTATTACAATACTAAATCAGCAACACTGATGAATAAATTCATCCTGTGATGTTTTTGAACATGTTTTTCACCAGTAAAGTGGTAAAAAATAAGAGAAAGGATAGACCCCCTACTCAATGCATATCAGCATCATACAGTACAAGTTATTTTATTGTTACAACACATAACATTTATCTGTAAATGATCCCAGCAGACTGCATGCACACCTGTCAACCCTCCCGTTTTTCCCGGGATTCTCCCGTATTTACCATTCTATCCCGCTGTTAACCAGTAGAGTTTTCTCCCAGAAGCCAAGGGAAGCCAGGATTCCCTTGTTTTTTATCAGACTCTATTTATCATTTTTTTTAAAAACACAATGTTTTTAGTTTCGATAAATCTGCTGTTGTTGTCATCTCTTCCCCATTTCTCACCATCTTACAATAAGTGAAACAGCGCCCCTTTGAATGCTATGCGTTGGATGTGTGGTGAAACGCTATATTGCACCACCGTAGACTGATGTGCAGTCGGACTACGCGGGGAGGCCACGCAGAGTTGGCATCCCTTTGTGAAAAAAAAATTAACGATTAACCAATCAGATGAGGCCACTGTCATGCCACTGCCTAACTGGGATTAGTCAGGATGATGCCATGGGAAGCCAGCCACTGTCTGGCTTCAACGGGAGCTGTTAGCAATTTTAGCTGGTGCAGTTATGGAGGGTGGAGATTTGGAGTTTTTAGTTATAAATAGTTTTACTAAACTAAAGCCGCAAATTAAGATTGAATCTGATGGAAGTTCAGCGCCAAAACTGGAGCTGCGCATGGAGAGGAAAAAGGGGTTTCGGACATTCAATGAGGAGAAATATATCGGTACAGCGTGGCCGGCTGGTACCGCCAAACTTGAATTTACTTCACCCCCACGACAGGAGAATGGCCTTCCTTTTCAAATAGGGGGAGTGAAATGTCACCTCCTTCTCTCTCTGAACTTAACTAAACTGCAGCTATGTGTGTGATTTTTGCGTGGTTACATTGTTTGTTTTTCTTTGCTTGACTGGATTTAGCTGCTGAATGAACAGTCTGCTGAACTAACCTTAATGTTTTTACTGCAGTTGTGTACACACAACACAGACAGAACCTGTCACAGGGCACTGGGCCAGGTTAGGCTATCTGAACAATTGTTTTTACTTAGTCTTCAGTGATGTTGTGTTATGAACATTTGGCTAAGCATTAAGAAGTATGTAGACCTATCTGATACATGCACCACTGCTACTATGCAAATGTCTTCAATCGTCTTCTGATTGAGCTTGTGAATGCTTCTTTTATTCTTAACCTGCACTATAAGCAGCGGGCTCTGTATGCTATTTGGGGTGAGATAGAGCGAGTGAGTAAGAAAGAGAGAGAGCGTACGTCTCTGTAAATGCATTCAGCGTGTGTATTGATAACAGATAGTGCGCATCTTTAAAGTATGATTCAACTCTGTGTAAAATCTTACCCTGCACTGTAATAGCACAAAACATTAGATAATTGCCCTCCAAAAAGGACATCCCATCTCACTTGTCTTCCCCAACCATTTACCCCACCCCACGCCACTGCTGTTAACCCATTTAAATATTTTATCGTAAATCTCGTTTCCCGTATTTCCAGCCTTTCTAAGAAAATAAATAAATAAATAAATGCCGTGCATATTTTAAATGTTTGCTACATTCCCCTCCGGTAAAGCAGGTGGCAGTATGTAGAACATTAGCTTTAACAGTGACAGAAAGTCAATGGCAGCACCAGCCAATAAAAAAAAACAGCAGTGAGAGGGGGCAGGATGGATGATGCATTCATTGCTCTACAGAGTATTTCACTCGCACATGCTCCTAAAATTATTTCTCTTATTTTTAAATTCCAATGTTGACAGGTATGACTCTATGTTATCTGTAAACTCAGAGCACAGTCTGTTGCCCCAACCTCCTTGTAGTGTTCCCCCAGCTTCTACTCCATGTTAACCATCTCCGACAAAAAGAAACTGCCAGCAACACACATACTGCTTCTAAAGTCATCTGCCTTCCCACACCCATCTCTCAGACAACAGAGCCATCACACGCCTAGCACTCACAATAGCAAATTACACTAATCACCCCCTCAAATCATAACTTCATATTACTGCCATCTGGATGGCGATGGCGAACACAGGACCTTAAAATGGAGGAGAGTTTGCTTCAGCAGAGTTGTGTCACATCTGCCATTGCAGCATTAAACAAACTGCGTCGCTGACTATGTTACTAGTGTGCTGGGATATAAGTATGGATTCCTATACTAAATAGAGTATTGTATATTCCTATACAATACTCTATGCATTGT